GGCCTACCTGGTCGAAGAAGTCCATCCCCAAGACCATGCAATAATCATCCATGGGTACTACGATTAGATCGATAGGTCCCTTCCATCCTCCGATCTCGACAATTACTCCATAAGCGACTCTAAGAATAGGCTCGGAAGGAGAGTTGACAACTTTCAACCAGCCTATTTCTTTGGTGTATTGAATGTTCATCTTTTCAACTTCATTTTTAGAGAGGAAATTATGGGACGCACCTGTGTCTACTAAGGCTTTAGTGACTTTGTCGTTTATACTAACTTTCACAAACATGATTCCTCTTTCTTTCTTTGTGTGGGCCTCTTCTTTTGCCACCAAATTGAGGCGTCGCATTCAGCCTAGTTGTGCCTCGTCTCTCTCTCTCTCTCTCTCTCTCTCTCTCTCTCTCTCTCTCTCTCTTCCTTTTCTTCTTCGAAGACCATCGCATTGAAACTTTTCTTCTTGGGACAATATTTGATTAGGTGAGGGCCGTCACATAAGTAGCACTTGATTTCCCTTCGAGGTCCCCCTTCAATCGCCTTCCCCTTGAAAGTTGATGGTCTTGCAGCGGGTTTATCGTCCTTCTGTTGCGGCTTGTTGTTGGTCTCTCTCCCCCACTAGGTTTCCTAATCGGGGTATCTCTTCGGAAGTCCATAAGGTCTTCAGCTACTGCTATAGCTTCGTCAACATCTTGGACGTTCCTCCTCTTGAGCTCGTTGTAAGCCCAAGATTGTAGTCCGTCTTGGAAGTAAAATAACTTGTCTTTCTCCTGTAAATCGGGCAACTCCAGCATCAAGGCGGTGAACTTTGCTACGTAATCTTTAATAGACCCGACATGTTTCAATCCTCAGAGTTTCTTCATGGCAACGTCTTCAGCATTATGGGGGCAAAATTGTTTCTTGAGTTGTCTCTTAAACTCGTCCCAAGTGTCTATGACATATAAGCCTTTCTCAATGTCGCCATGCTTCCGCCTCCACCATAGTGCCGCATTATCACTCAAGTACAGAACGGCCGTGTCTATTTTGTACTTGTCATCCTTTACTCCGATAGCATTGAAATAACATTCTAAGGACCAGAAAAATTCCTCGAGTAGTTTAGGATCACGCTTACTTCCATATTTCGAGGGCTTAGGTGCTTCTGTGTGTGGCGTCATCTTCGAAATAGATCCTCCGGCTATCGCTTCTTTGCATAGCTTCACCTCATCTTCTAGAGTGCTTATCTTCTCACGGAACTCATTCCGCAAGGTGTTGACAAGTCCAAGGACTTCTTCCTTGAGGACACCGATGGTCTCCTTTAATCCATCGCTCCTGTCACTTATCTCTGCAACGAACTGATCGACGGTATCCTTCCATTCAAGTATCCCACCGATGTTAATCTCTGTCCTTGTAAGCTTGTTTTCTAAGCTTGCCAATGCATCTATCGATTGGTCCCTCTTCTTGGACTTTCTTCCTCTCTCCTCGAGGACAGGGGGTAGGTTTGCTGCTTCACTACTTCCTCCTTCCGTAGCCATGATCTCTTGCTTTAACGAACCAATCTCTGATACCACGTATCACGGGACGACTCAATCACCGTGTGCCACTTAGTGTAACTTCGACTAAGTCAGGCTACAACACTTCCTTGAGATGTATAAACGACTAAGTAAGCAAGAGAATAAGGCTTTCGAGTTTCTACAAACGAAAGAAAACTTCTATTATAAGAGCTCGAGAGAATACAAGGAAACTTTCCGATGGTTTGGAGCAAATGAGCTCCTCCCTATTTATACTTGTCCTTCCCCCCCTAGGGAAGTTTCTAGATATTACTACATTAGTCCTATATTCTTGACTAATCTAGACTATTCTACCAAGTTACATATATTTACAAGTCTTCATGAAATGTTCTAAATCATTCTTCGATGTCCTATAGAAATCTAGGACGTTCCAGGGTCTAATGTGATATACTTGTAAGTTCTCCCATTTTCTCGAGTACTCCGGAAGAGTCTAGAATCTCGCTCGTGACAACATGCTATTATTATACATATGATCATTCATGTACAAGTATATGCATATATTGATGTACAGTTATATGCATATAGATATCTATGAAATTAAGTAATAAAAACTAAAACTACGACTATTAAAAATTAAAAACTAATTTTAATTAAAGTAAGATGTACCATTAAACTAGTATCACTTTATGCTTGTTTAAAAAATATTATATACAAGTGAAGAGATAGTCAATCATTTTAGAAAACTGTATGCTATAGTAAAATAACATAAATAAACAATTACCTTCAAAAAAACAAATTATAAAAGTCCACGTATTATTCGTGAATATGAACCATAAAATCAAGAAATTTGAAAATTTGTGTAATATGAATATCTCAAAATATATCATGTTTGTGGGTATATTGTGAAATTAAAAACTTGAAAAAATAAGAATAAAAATGGAAAAAGATTTCGCTTAAATGTGGAGACAAGGTTATTATGGCCCATTTCTGAGGCTAATTCGATGAATATTTTGTCTAAATCTTAAAAATGATTAACATTTTGGTTTAATTTATGTTTTTTTTTTCTTAATATTATCCTAACATTTCCGTATTATGATGTGACAAATCTCAATTTAATAGTGTTAAAGTCTTAACGTTATTCATCCTAGATGACAACACAAGCCTTGAATTTCACTGTTGACATCCTCCATGTGAATTAAAACAAATGCAGCTCTACAAGAAAATGATGATATGAGAACTGAATCCTTTAAAAAAGATATACAAGTTATACAAAATACACATTGCAAAGGATAATTACAGAGTGCAATTTTAGTTCAGACTTTTAGAGCCTTATAGCAGGAAAAAAATGCATAGTTTTTGTTTTCTGATACAGAGGAAGGGAGTTTCTTTTAGCATCTCAAGATCTATCAATGGCTTTCGCTTTTGTCATAGTATTAAGATAACCAATTGAATCTAGGAAACATGAAACAAGAGACAGTAAACTGACATTGATTGTCTTTTGAGCACCTAAAGCAACTGTTTCTCTAACCTCTGCAAGATCAGAACGGACTAACAATTTGAATTCAAAGAGACAATGCTTGAAAGTATAATGGTTATAGATAAAAAGAATACAAAGTAGCTCAATCAAGTTCAACATGAATGGAATTTGTGGTTTCAACAATGTGGTTTGAGAATATAATTAACTTGGTGAAAGCAATCAAAGCATTAGACAATTTTTTCTAAGAAGTAGAATTTTGGATGCAGAATATACCACTTGCAATGCAGGATGTACATTTGAAAAAAATGAACTACCTTATATTATGATACCACTGATTAGAATCTCCAAATGTATGAACAAAAAAATATAATACAATCAGTGCATGTTCAACCACAAGTAAAAACAGAAAAGTGTATATTAATAGATGATATTTTCCCACATTGCCATTCACATTCTTAAACCAATTCTAAGTTAGGGGGTTTTTTTTTTTTTTTTTACCAAAATTTGGAGGAAAAAAAAGCTGAAATTGGATCTAATGGTAAGGTCCACCAGCTACAACAGCAACTTCAACGATGGCGGCGGCGGCAAGACAATGGGGCGATGCTGGTCGTCGTTCACAGAGGTGAGTTGTAGGTCGGACCGACAGTGGGAGGGAGAAGGTATGTTGCGTCGACGACTTTGGAGTAGGTGGAGGGCATTGTTGCCGGGGGTGATGGCGGAGGTGATGTCGGAGGTGACGTCGTTGGTGGAGGTAGTGGCCAGCTTGCAGATCGGAGATGCAGTGGGAGAGCAAGAGTATCGTGTGAACTAGAAAGAGAAGAGGGAAAGTGAAAGTAGGGCAAAATCAACGTGTTCTTTTTCTTATTTTAATAACATTCACATATATTTTCCAAATTGCCCCCAACTATTTAAAAAAGTAAAAAAGAAAATCGAATTTCACTAACAGCTTCCGACTGAAATTTCAAATTTGTTGATTTTCGTCGGAATACTGTAACGGATTACCGACCAATTTTATTCTGTTGCGAAACTGTCACAAAACGTCGCTAATATCCTAGTAATTTGTCTGTCGGAAACCCGTTGGAAATCTGTTGCTTTTTTTTTCGTCGCTAAAATTCTGTCGCTGTTGCTCTATTTTCTAGCAGTGATTTTAGGAATTTCATCATCTTTAATGGCCAAAATACTAAAAAGAATTTGTTAATCATAGATTGGTTGAACATTCCTACAGTTGGTTTGTAAATATGAATATGGAGTTAATTCTTAGTAGAGGTTTTGCTTATTAAACCCTATTTTATCGATTTTTATGTATCTCTTTGTTAGTTTTTTGCTATCATTTTTCAATAAAATTCAGTGGTTCAAAAAAAAAAAAAAAAAAACTATTGTACTGTTTTACATTTTAATTCGGCATACATCTTTTTCGCTACTTCAACTTTTGATCTTGGATGTTCGAACTCTGAGGATTTGGTATATTCTCTATTCTACATTTTATGTCCTCTTATGTGATGAAGATCCAGGGTTCACTTATGAAATATTACAAGACTTTAAAATTTATATATGTTGATGCTATAAAGACTGTTGCTCTCAATTTCGAACATGGATAATCTTAACCTATGTTGCGTATTAATACTTGAAGTTTTGTATATAATTTTGATCTTTGCTGAAACTAAAGAGCAACGTCTAGATTAATTTGTAACGAGTATTTGAATCAAGATCATGACTTCAACAAACTGTAAAAACAACTAAAATCTAAAACTAAATTTATAACAATAGACGAAGAAGTAACAACAACTTCCTCAGCTGCTATAAATCAATAAAAAATGTAGAGGTCTTGATCAGAGATGTCAAATCAACCCCAAAACCAACAAATGCTACTAAGTATATATCATTTACTCACATTTAATATGGATCATGCATGTTTATGATATCACATTATTGTTATAGATTCCAGAAATGTTCAGTGTAGGAATATGTAAAGTGGTCACACGCATTATTTTCATAAGTATAAAACACCAAAGTTACTAATTTTTTAATGCAAGAAAAAGTTAATCTTAAGCACTTTGTAGGTTGCTTTCGTCCTCTTTTACACCCAATTCTTTCTCTTTTCCCTTCTTCGCCTTCGCCTTTGCCTTAGGCTTAGCCTCAGCTCCAGCCCCAGGGTCAACCTCAACCTCTGCCTCTTCATTCTCCTTCCTCTTAACATCAAAGAACTCGATGAGACCACTCAAAACGATATCTGGATCATCATCCTTGAGTAGTTGCTCTGCTATTTCAGCGGGTGTAACTTTTATCTCACACATAAAATCGTCTATTTGTTTTAGGAGACTATGTTGTGTGATTCCAAGATAGTTAGTAACCAACTGACGAAATCCGCATGGTGTTAAATATGACATGTGTATATGAACGTCCATACGACCAGGACGAAGAAGAGCAGGGTCAAGTTTGTTCTTACGGTTTGTGGTGAAGATGATGATCCGTTCGTCTCCACAACTTGACCATAACCCGTCAATTAAATTGAGAAATCCCGATAAGGTTACCTGATCATAGTAATTGATGTAACAGGCAAATAAGTAAATCTAAATCTAAAAGGAAAAAAAAACGCTAAATGGTTTTCGATATTAACTTTATTTTCTTTTGGGTAAAGCCTTATGAGGGATGATTCTTTCACCGTCTCTCTGGCCACCCGATCGTGCAACGCCACCGAGCAATCAATGTCCTCCACCACGAGTATAGACCGGTTAGTCGTTGCCAACAACAACGCCCGTAGATCCGAATTTGAATGGACATTAGTCAACTCCAAGTCATAGATGTCAAAATTCAAGTAATTAGCCATGGCGGCGATCAAGCTTGATTTTCCTGTCCCGGGTGGACCATACAACAGGTAACCTCTTTTCCATGCCTTTCCTACTTTCCGATAATACTCTCTTCTCTCCACAAATCTATCCAAATCCTTTATCACTTTCTCCTTTATACCGGAATCCATTGCCAACGTGGTAAAGTTCGCCGGATGGTCAAGATTCACCGACATCCAATTCGGTGGTCTTGAATACAACGACACCGTGAATAATTTCAAGGTTTTTTGTTCCTGTTTCTTCATCTCTGAAGCCTTAAGTACAAACGGCAAGTAGTCGTTCAGCACCAGATCTTTGTAATCTCGATGAAACGTGAGTTCCAACGAATGTCTAGTTGTTCGGGAAGAAGATTTCATGTCATTGTGACTGTTATATTGTTTAGTCGGCGTCTTCTTGGAAACCGAAGACCAGTAGAGTTTGACACCCTTGTAAATATCGGTGAACTCCTCGTTGACTTCCATGGCAACCGCGATGTTGTTGTCGTTACGAGTTTTGCTGACCTTCAGTCGATGGATGTCTGTAGACATTCTAGCAGCAACATAGAATTGAATGGCGTTATAGATTTCGTTTTCGTGAAACCCATCGGATTCATAGATTACCATGGTCAAGTGTTTGGATAACTTTTTCTTTATGAAGTTTCGTAAACCGATATAAATGTAGTCTTGGAATTCAGGTGGCAAGTAATGACGGGCCATTTTGCGTACCACCATAGTGGCGGCGGCGATAGAGCCGATGGTTGAGATGATGGTTTTCACTTTAGAGGGCATTTTAGAAACGAAGGGTTCAAGTGTTGAAGGTTTGCATGGGGTTTTTATCTACACCGACTGGCGACTATTACTAACACGCCTGATATAAAAGCTCCCTATATAGCTGATTAATACAAAAGGATTCTATCATTAATATTTTTAAAAAGATATTTCTCTTTTTAAAATATAATGTGTGTGATGATTTACTTTTAGATTTCAAAACATATTTTTTTCACTAAGTGGATTTTTCGTATATTTTGTTATTTAAAATACAATTAATTTTATCATTTGTATAACAACAATTTTACTCCATTTTTCGTTTCTCATCATTGTGATAATCTTTTTAAGTATAAGGTTTTGCCAAACAAAATACAATACTAGATAAGGGCCTGGAAAATACTAAATGACGGAACTGAAAATCAGAAAACAAAATATAAACTTATGTGTTTCTATTTCAAATTTTATAAATATAAATTTTTAATAACCTTTAATGATAAAATCTTTTTACATAACTATAAAGGTATAGGCGAAATTGATATATTCTGAATTTATTTATGAGATCTTTTTGACAATGCATTCTTTAAAATTAAGACATACACTACAAGAATAACCGGCAATCGCAAAGACACCTCTAGCGGCGACAGACACTTTTAGTGACGACAACAAACAAACGTATTTTTTGTCGCTGCTAAAAGTGTTCGTTGACGTTAAAGGCGTCGTCGCTAAAGGCTTATGTTGGCGATCCGTGTCATTTTAATCTCAGCCGTAGATTTAAGCGACGATCCAACAACTAGGAGAACGTACGAAACCCCACGTTTTCCCTCTGGTGTGTCGCCGCAAAAGAGTGCCCGTCGCCGCTAAAGGCTTATGCTGGCGATCCGCGTCATTTCAATCACATACGTTGATTTAAGCGATGATCCAATGACGTTGGAAACCCCACATTGTTTTCCCTCCAGCATGTCGCCACTAATGAACGTCAACAATAAAACCCTCTTCGTCCTCACTTTCTTTCCCGATATTCTGTGATTTCCCTCTTCTCTCTGCTCACAACCTTCGACCTCATCAGAATTTCACCAAAATCTTCGCAATTTCACCCGTCTTCTTCTTCATTTTTCTCGTTTTCTTTTCCTTTTCTCTTCCCCCTACTAAATTTCCAGAATTTGTTTTGGTTGCCTGAATTTTGAGATACCCCACCATTCACGCCGGAGTATACCGTCACCACCAGTGTTCTCGTCGGAATTTTGATTTTGTAGATGTTTATTTTTATGTGTATTTTGTGTTTGTATATTTGGATGTGTATTTGTATGTATATATGTATTTTGAATGTATCTTGTGTATGTATATGTGTTTTTGTATCTACATTTGTATTTATATGTGTATTTTGTATGTGTATGTGTTTTTGTATGTATATATATATATGTATTTCATATGTGTATTATGTATGTATAGAAATACATATAAATAGCGGCGACACCTTTAGCGTCGCCGCTAAAGGCTTATGCTGGCGATTCGGGTCATTTCAATCACATCCGTTGATTTAAACGATGATCCAACGACGTTGGAAACCTTGCGTTATTTTCTCTCCAGCGTGTCCCCGCTAATGAGTTTCAACAATAAAGCCCTCTTCGTCCTCACTTTCTTTCCCGATCTTCTGTGATTTCCCTCTTCTTTCTGCTCACTACCTTCGACCTCATCGGAATTTCACCAAAATCTTCGCAATTTCACCCGTCTTCTTCTCCATTTTTCTCGTTTTCTTTTCCTGTTCTATTTCCCCTGCTAAATTTCCAGCATTTGTTTTGGTTGCCGGAATTTTGAGATCCCCCACCATTCTCGCCGGAGTATACCGCCACCACCAGTGTTCTCGCCATAATTTTGATTTTGTAGATGTTTATTTTTATGTGTATTTTGTGTTTGTAGATTTGGATGTGTATTTGTATGTATATATGTATTTTGAATGTATTTTGTGTATGTATATGTGTTTTTGTATATACATTTATATTTATATGTGTATTATGTATGTTTATGTGATTTTGTATGTATATGTGTATTTCGTATGTGTATTATGTATGTATAGAAATACATATAAATAGTGGTGACACCTTTAGCATCGCCGCTAAAGGCTTATGCTGGTGATCCGCATCATTTCAATCTCATCCGTTGAATAAAGCGATGATCCAACGACGTTGGAAACCCCGCGTTGTTTTCCCTCCAGCGTATCGCCGCTAATGAGCGTCAACAATAAAACCCTCTTCGTCCTCACTTTCTTTCCCGATCTTCTGTGATTTCCCTCTTCTCTCTGCTCACCACCTTTGACTTCATCGAAATTTCACCGAAATCTTCGCAATTTCACCCGCATTCTTTTCCATCTTTCTCGTTTTCTTTCCCTTTTCTCTTCCCCCTACTAAATTTCCAACATTTGTTTTGGTTGCCGGAATTTTGAGATCCCGGTCCCCACCATTCTCGTCGGAGTATACCGCCACCACCAGTGTTCTCGTCGGAATTTTGATTTTGTAGATGTTTATTTTTATGTGTATTTTGTGTATGTAGATTTTGATGTGTATTTGTATGTATATATGTATTTTGTGTATGTATATATCTTTTTGTATATACATTTGTATTTATATGTGTATTATGTATATGTATGTGTTTTTGTATGTATATGTTAAGATTATATATGTTGTGTCAATTGGTTGTATTCGGAATTATGTGTACATATTCCAATTCCGAAATGGGCATGTCCATATTCGGAATCTTAGCTCAGTAGGTCTATAAATAGCGCATTGTTTCCTTTATTTTGCATCGATCTTTTGTAACCTTCTTGCACTTATAGAATAGTTCCGAATTACGAACTATTCTTTGTGCTTTGTTATTGGAGATTGAGCTTATTTCATTCCATATCATTCTTATTATCTTATTTGTTTTAGCATTTCATAACGAATATAGAATCTATCGGTCATAACAATTGGTATCAGAGCAGGAGATAGTGTAATCATTCGCTATTCTTCTGTCGAGCAAAGAGGGTTTTCGTTAATGGTTTTTCAATGTTTTCTCATATTTGTTCGTGTGTTATCTCAATCATTTCCGCGATTTGCATTCATATCTTTGCAAATCGATTGTAGTTCACAGATCTGATTTCCCTAGTTTTCCTTGAACTCGATTTTTGTTTACATATATGGTTCTATATTCCGTTTTAGATTGAAATCTCTCAAAATGTCGAAGGACGATGTTCATTCACTCTCATTCAATCTTCCTAGTAGTATCGATTCAACTACAAGGATTCCAATCCTTTTCCCAGAAGACTAAAAAGTCTGGGCTCTTCACTTTGTGAATTACGTGCTTAGGATTGAAACTCACGGATCTAGCATATGGCATGATATGACTGTGGAGACGTACAAGTATTCCGGAAATAGAGAAGAAATTAAAACTCAAGCTCAGTATGATGTAATTGTCGCTGATGACACATAAATCACAAATGATGAAAAGGAAAAGTTAATGTGCAATCTGAAGGCTATGCGAATCATCCGATTTGCTCTTCCACCAGACACTTTTCGCCTCGTGAATTCGTACAATACCGCCAAAGGGATTTGGGACAGACTGAAGGAGATGTACTTAGGTGATGACGACTTGGAACATTCCCTGCACACTACACTCCTCTTAGAATTTGGGTCATTCGTACAAAAGTCAGAAGAGAATCTCGAACAGACAGTCGATCGTTTTAATCATCTGTTGAGCAGGATGCTGAAGTACAACCTTCAGAGAAAAGTCACTGAAGAGAAGGTTACTTTCATGAATGGTCTACGATCTGAATGGAAGTCAATTGTCTCAACTGTGAAAGCTCATGAACAATTCAAAAATTACTCCTTGGCGAAACTGGTTGGGATTTTGAAATCTCATGAAGAAGAGGTTACGAAGGAAGCAAAGTTGGTTCATTGGCATTAGTTACGAAAGGTGATAAGCAGATGAAGTCTAATGTTGATGATTCCGAGTCTGTCACACCCCCAAACCGGAACGGCGGAAACGTTCGGGGGGTGGAGGACGTCATGTGTAGTATCACAACAATTGTATCATAGCAATCATAGTAGACACAACCATTACATTGAATACACATATGAAACAGGTTTACATCTGTTTAAGTTTTTTGAATACATCAAAAGTATAAGAAAAATAAAAAGACATGACTCCATACTCTTCGTGTTCTCAGAACTTCGGAAGGTACCTGTCTACTGATTTCCTAAGAATACAAGCAGTTTTGAAAGAATATCAGCATAAAGCTGGTGAGTTCATAAGCTATGTTTTGTAGTGAAAACTTGTTGATGTATCTTGTAAAATGTTCGTATGTTTCCAAGAAAATCCAATATTTTCTTTGATAAAAGCATGATGTTACAAGTTCCTTCTATGAAAGTTTGTTACGGTATCCTTTGTAGTATAAAACATATCAGTTTGTATGCTTGGTTACTACCAATATGTATAGTATGATGTATTCTGTATGAAAACCTCTGTGGATGGAATGTTCAGATTGAAAACCCTGGCTACCACCAGTATGTAATGTAGTTCTGTTTGAAGCCCTGGGCTACCACCAGTATGTATAGTATGTTTTGTTGAAACGCTGGCTACCACCAGTATGTATAGTAGTTTATTAGTTAAATAAAGCCATTTGTTGTATCCCTGGAATCCTTTAGTGTAATGTATAATAGTTCTATTAATTAAAATAAAACTAATGAAGAATGAAATCCCGTAAACAAAAGGTTAGTTTATACTTATTGTGAGTCGTATAACCATGCTTGATATGACCTAGTGACCTCTACGACGTTCTTCAGGCGTCGGATGTTATGACATTTGTCACCCCAGGCATGCCTGCCTAACTGTAGCTAGCAGTTCAAGTGTGGGATTGTCAGTCCCGAATAGATCTATTCACAAATCTCACGCTCTCCCTCCAGGAGACTCTGGTTATACTATGATAGGATTTAGTTCAGTACACCAAAGGGTACAGTTTTGAAGTAGAGTCTCACAATTCTGCATAA